ATTCTCATGTCTTTCTATTTTGGCTTTAATGGGAAGGAGACAAAATGTAGGAATGTCAACAAGCATGAAGCAGTAGTATAAATACAACTTCTTAAAACTCTCTTGCTTGTCTTAGAACTGTTGCAGCTTTGCAGCTAACCAGCAACTGATGACAAATGCTCTGTTGATTGTAATTCATGATCATCTTAATATGTAAATAAGTTGAGCCTCATCAAACTGATTTTCAGAACTATTACTGAAACTAATAGCAAAGATCATATAGTGCAGTTTTTGGTTGTTGGTCCCACGTCACTTTGCTGGGGCTAACAGGTACCCCTGAAGCACTTCATAAAGCTTAAGTGCTTTAGATGGGATTGATACAATTAAAACAAAAAATGAAAGTTAATGGCTGAATGCGTAGAATGGTTTGAGCTCAAAGGGACCTTTAAAGGCCATCTAGTCCAGCCCCCTGCAGTGAGCAGGGACATCTTCAACGAGATCAGGTTGCTCAGAGCCCCTGTTTCCAGGAGTGGGGCATGTATCACCTCTCTGGGCAGCCTGTGCCAGTGTTTCACCAGAACAATTCAGAATTCACTGATACAATTCAGAAGCAACACACTGGCCTATTCTGTTGGAAGGTAGATACAGCAGTGGACTTGCCACACTTCTTTTATGTTTTTAACAGAGATGGATGGAAGGCAGAGAAAAAGAAAGGTTATTACTGCCTTTTTATGTGTGATGAAGTGCAGAGGAGTCTAAGGCTCAGGGCGTTGAAAAAAAATGCTTTTTGTATGGCTTATGAATGCGATAGAGATGGTGGTAAGGGAACTATGATAGACTTGCTAAAGCTGATACCGTTTATAATAGTCAACCAAATGAATTATACATAAAGTGTACAAATCTTCCAGTCTTACTTTATGTCTGCACAGGACAGCTTTCCTGATGCAGGTAAAACAATTAAAATTCAGTAGTTAAACAAAGATAAGAATTAGAAGATTTGCCCAAAGGCATTCAGGAGATCAAAAGCAAAGCTGGAATTTGAACCCATGCTTAATTCCTGGCCAACTTGATCGGGAGTGTTTCCTTTTCTCCAGTTAATAGACTGATGAGAAGCTTTGTTTTCGCAATAAGCCTCTGGGTAGGTAGCTCCATTATCCAGTCAAGGGTGTGTTTTCCAGTTAGCAGAAAACCACTGGAAAATTGGTAGGTTTTTGAATAGAAATAATATGTCTTTCTAGAATGAAGCGTTGTTGATCAGGTACTGCATGATCCAAATGAGATTGTAAATTGCTGCAAGAAGTCTGTAACTTTCTACGGTTTAGGCTGTTATCTGTTTAGAGTTCATTTGATAATTTGTGGGATTTCAGGTTCTTTTTTTTGCTTTGTCAAAGGATTGTGGACTCCAGCTATGTACAGAGGTTTTAAATATTGCCTATTATGCAAAAATATGAACTGTTCTAATTTTACCGGAATAAGGATACAGCTTTCTGAAAAAGAATACAGCATTATTTTTTTTTTCTGTAGTTACATTAAAAAGTTGGGTGGTAATAGACTGCATATAAACAGTTTGTCCTCCAGATTCATCATTCATCCTGTTACTGTTTATTCTTTTCTCTTTTCAAAATAGAAGTTGGTGTTTCCCTTTTCAAGCAATTTGCAGTTGTTGGGAGCATTGCTGATCAAAATAGAGCAAAACACAAAGTGTTCCTTTGAGAGTCTCCTAACTTTCTAACCATGGAATAACTTCTTAAGCAAGGGGTATGGCGTCTTGTTGTGTAGCAGACAAGCTCATTTGAAGGTCAATGGTAATCAAAATTGTTACTGTTTTTTTTGGATCTTCCCCATCCCTCCATCCCTGTCCTCAGAAACTGCTGTTATGCTGTTAACTGGCATTCCAGTTTGCCTTGTCAAGAGTTGTGCAGTAAAGAATTAAATGCAGCAAGGATAAGAGTGTTCTGGATGTTCAAGCCCAGTTCAGGATTGAGAAGACAGCACAATTTGAAAGGAGATTGGTCTGCACATTCTCGGAAATGAACCTTTGGTTCTACATACATGTGGGATTCAAAATGAAGAAACTCGCACCATGTGTTGGTGGGATGATGTTGGATCTCTAGGAAGGTTTGTTGATGATACAGCAAATCAAGTTTTTGGTCAATGCCATTTGTTTTGCTGCTTTTTGAGCTTGCTTTGTTTCTCCTTCCAATGCCGTAAAAAAACCCGGTCGTTTTAATCACATAGAGTATGAAAATGTCTTCTGAATTGCTGAACAGTTGAGTTCTGTAATTCTATGAAACTAAATGCTATGCAGCCATCCTTCCAGAAAGGCATGTGCTTTCTTGGTTGCCTCTTTCAGATTTACTGCTTACTAACTGGGATAGTCGGAAATTTGGAAAGTTCCATGATGGAATTTTGGAAAGGTCCACTTTACTTGGGACATCTTGGAAGTTGTAGTTAGTCGAAGCTGCAGAGTTATGAGAGGTAGCTTTGCCTGCCAGTGAGCAATCACATTCTGACCTGGTGTGATAAATGCAAGGCCACAGAAAAGGGCATTTAATCACTTTTCTGACTTCTGTATTATTTTTAAAGTTAGGAGAGCCTGTGTTTCTTCAGCAGCATTCCAGACAAGAATCACTTGAGAACCAGTTACTTGTTTTGGTCACTCGGTTTTGGTGGGTTTGGTTTTTTCCATACCAGCTCTAAAAGGGGTCTGCAACCATTTTTTAATAAAATTTGGTCTGAATAAAATAGGCTGGTGGGGAGGAGCAGAGAAGTGAATATGGTTTCCAAAATCAGAGTTCTGCCTTACCTCTTTTTTTTTTCTTTCCAAAGGAAATTGAATACTCATTTGTTGTTAAAAAGGATAAACTCTGGCCATTTTCAATAATCAATCAGTTTACATCAGTGGATAAATGCAATGAAATTTGAACACAGTTGCAAGCAGGGCAGCGTGATTTCCCTGCTGGGTGTTCATAGCCAAGACAATGCGACTGCACTTCCATCAGGACGACTCTGAAGCACAGAAGTGACAGACAACACAGTGGTTAATGTGTTAGCTGTATGCTGCTGCCCTACTGTGTGCATCAGTGGGGAAGAAATCTCTTGAAAGGGATGGGGAGCTGGGATAATATTGATACTGATTGGATTAGACATTGTTCATGTCTGGTCTCTAGTTAAGAAGCTGTTGAGGTCCTCTGCTGCTGACTTGATATTTCAGGTTCCTTTTTCCTTGTAGCATTAGTGATGGCTTCAGCATGGAAATGTCTAGGTGAAAATCCATCTGTTCATATGCCTCAAAACACTTTTGGGACAGTATTTTTTAAAAATTTGTGCATAGACTTTTTACAGCTTTGATCTTTGGCTGGATATGGGGCTGGTTTTCTGAGGCAATTGCATAACTGGAGAAGTTGTCTGCCCCAAAGAGCTTGTGACTTAAATAGAGCCCGCTACCATCAAACTTTCTGAGTGTTCAGGTGGTTTGGTGCAGTGCCACTGAAAATAGACATGGTTATGGGGAACCAATGACGTGCAGAGAAGAAAGCAAGCACTTTGCATTCTAGACATTTTTTCTTCTTTTTTTGGTAACTAACCTGTCAGGCTTTCACGATTCTATTCCTAGTGTTTTTAAAGATGACAGAGAGGAGGATTTGGCAAGTTAGGAAATGAGATAGGAGTGATACTGAGACTTTCATTTCTTAATAAATAATTCTCCTCAAGCTGTATAAACTTTCTTGAGTTAAATATTGTAGAAAACAAAGATACTACATTTTCAGTGAAATATTCATGATAACAGTTGTCTGTATCTTTGCTGTCCAAGATCCTCACTTAAAACCACCAGCTGATTTAAATTTTCCTTACTACCTTCATCAGCATAGGCTTCCTCCAAAAAGAAAAGTAAAGCCATCTCTTTCCTGACTTGGAGAAGAAAAAAAAAGGACATGCAGAATAATAATAAAAAGGCTGAATTTTTCTGCCTGTTTTTAATTCATCTGAAGCTGAGTTGTAGATTCTAATGGAGGTCCTTGGTCTGCATATAAATAGATGAGCTGTTGTCAGAGATGCATTTCCATTTGGCCCATGCAGTGGCACACACTCTCCAGTAAGTGTGTAGAGTTCACGAAAAAGGCAATCGAATGTGGCAGGGCTGCAGATACAATAGCACAGCAGACCTGCAGCTCAGAACTCGCACAAACTGTGGTCTTTTCAAAGTGCAGGAGGAATCGAATCTGAAAGACAATATCAAGAGATAACTCTCAAATATTATGTCCAGTAACATGAATTCAAAACTAGTGGTATTTATATCATAGGCTTGAAGCCATAGAAAATGAAATAACATACACTGCTCTGTTCTGTGTGTGGTTCTGTGAGTTGAGGGGCAAGTGTTTGGACCTCTGCTGGATGCGCACTGGAAGCAGCAACATCAAGTGAAATGATAGTGTATGAACGTAGGAGCCAGCAGTCTTCCTTCAAACTGTTCCTTGAATTTCTCTTCATTGTGGTGCAGGGGAGAAGACAGGAGTTCTGAACCTCTGTCACAGTCTTTGCCATCTCGGAGGGCACTTGGTAGGAGCATTTCAGAGTGTTGTGTCTAGTACTGTTAGCTAACTACTAAAAGGCATCAAAACTTGCCTTCTGTGTGTTGTTACTACTTCAAGTGGGTGAACCAAGCTTTTAAACCGTGAATTTGTTCTAAACCTAGGTTTATGGATTGACAGAAGGTATTGTTGAACGGCCTCAGTTTGAACTCTTAACAGTGTTGAAGACACTATCTACATCGTATAGGTACAGAATTGGACCTCCTCTTCCCACTGTCTTTACTCCTTTGTCTGATACGTGGAAAGAAAAGGTTTTTGGGTAGTGTGCGTTTTTCTGTCATGTGAAACTTCGGCGCCCCTTCTACTGTACTGCCAGCACCCTGATCTGGGAAAAGAAGTCCTCCTCTGCCATATTCATACTAAGGGCTTTAACATCTGTAGATGCCAATAATACTAACATGTTTTGGTTTTGGTTTTTTTCTTCTGTAGCATCTCCCTTTCTGCTTTTTGCCAACCGGCGGGATGTTCGACTTGTGGATGCTGGAGGCACGAAGCTGGAGTCCACTGTGGTAGTCAGTGGTTTAGAGGATGCTGCTGCGGTTGACTTCCAGTATTCGCAAGGCATCGTTTTCTGGACAGATGTGAGTGAAGAAGCCATCAAGCAAACTTACATTAACCAAACTGGGAATGTGGTGCAGAATGTCATCATTTCTGGTCTGGTTTCCCCGGATGGCCTGGCATGTGATTGGATTGGGAAGAAACTTTACTGGACGGATTCAGAAACCAATAGGATAGAAGTAGCTAATCTCAATGGAACATCTAGAAAAGTCCTCTTCTGGCAAGACCTTGATCAACCCAGGGCAATAGCTTTGGATCCTGCTCATGGGTAAATATTAATTAATCTGACTTAAATGCTTAAATGGATAGTGGTGATTTGTGTTCATTTTTTGGTTCTGAAAAAGAAACATAACCTTTTGTTTCAGTTTACATTTTCCTAAGATATTTTTCTCAAAATCTGTAGCTGAACATATGTTTGAGCTTAAATACTTTGTGTCAAGAAATGACAGCCCCAACATAGAGTCAAAAAGAAAATCTGTTCTTAGGTGCCAAGCCAAATATTCAACTTGTATGATTGCCTAACTTATTCCGTTGCACTTCTGAAAAGTAATTAATTTTCCCATTCTTTTTTATTGTTATTTTTTCAGTTATCTTGTCTGGTAAGTTAACTTCTATCTGCTATGTACTGTCTCTTTGATGTATCTAGACAGCAAGGTGTGTAAATCCGCATGAGTCAAAACAGGAATTCTCACTTGCTATGCTAGGGTAAACAAAATGGGGTTGTGGTGCTGTTGAATAACCACGTCTGTGCTGGCAAGTAAAAGAATTGAGGTGAAACTGGGGACACTCAGTGCTGTAAGGTGACCAGGTTAGGAAGTAACAAGGGAGCAGGCTGGGTGTGTCACTTAGAGTGCTCTTGAAAATACTTGTATTTCTGTATGGCTCTTCCCTCCCTCTTCAATGCTCCCCCACATTTCACGTGTGCTGTTTATATAACAAACTGTCTCCAGTTTGGGCCCCGCATTTGTGGCAGTGATGCTTGAAGATCTCCTGTGCTAGGTGGAGTCCTGGGATAAGGGGAAAAGAGAAGTGAGGTGGTTTGCCATTAACCTGCTGCTGTTTGCACAATTCTTTCTCAGAGATCACTTTATCTTCCTCTGCTGCACAGTACATGTAGGTAGGTTTCTCCTCTGTAAGACAATCTGGCGTCAACTGGTATTTCACCGAGTCCGGTCTCTTTGCAAGGAGATGCTGAGTTAATACAAGGGCTTAGGATAAACCACAAATGTAAAGTGGTTTGTGGTTTGTATCCTGCACGTGGAGACAGACAGTCTCTTGAGAAACCACCTTCTTCAGGTGTATAAGAAGTGAAAATTGGAACTAAGCAACAGAGGGCAACTTAAGATTGCCATGTCAGCAGCTGCCACGCTACACACTGGAACTTCGTTAGGTTGTTGCAGTGGTTCCTGCATAAGGCTTCCCAGATGGATGTAAGGAGTTCTGGGTACATTTATGATTAATGAGTAAAAGAGGTACAAGTACTAAATGAAACTGTGTACCCAAAGAGACAAAACCGCTAATTTTGTTGACACATCGAATGCTGGAGCTGCCTGTATCCTTCAGATAACTGGTAGAAAGGTACAGCCATAATCAGTAAAAGGGAAAGTGGAGTGACTTTGTTGGACCAAAGGACTTTTCCACAGGGGACCTTGTCCTCTTAATCCTGACTTCACTACGGATGGCTGTAGGTCAAAGGAATTCTTCCCATACAAGTTGGTGCATGAAAGTATATTACATAAATTAGCAGGAATCCTGTGTGTATCCTGACAGCAGGTTATCTACACATCATTAATTAATGCTGAAGACTAACTTTAGATCTAGAGTTCAGTAGTATAATTTAGAGAGGGAATATGATGTTAAATGGAGTATTTTATAAGGAGGTAGATCAGAGAGAGTGGAATGGCACTTTCCATGAAATATCAGTGCCAGGTTGACACCTCGTAACTGAATGCAGTTCCTTGCCTTTTGGCTATTTTCTTCAAGGTAGCTTAAATACTGGTTGTGGCAATATATTTCATGCCGTATTACGTGCTTTTTGACTTGCCTGCTTTGAAAAACAGAAGGGACTAACTGTGGATTTCTGGTGGTATACTGCTCCTATACTATAGGAAATGCAAGATTTATTTTTTTTTTAATGAAAACTGGATTAGAACAACTGGGAGAGAAAGTATTGTTGGTACGGGTCGAAAGGAAAGATTTTTTAAAATCATCAGTGTTGATGGTGAAGTTGCAGCACTTCTGCAGGTCTGATCCTTGTTGGGAAGGAGGGTTGCAGGCATGGTTAGTTTTGCATGACTTTGAAAGGCAGTTTTTGCAGCAATGCTTGTGCAGAACAGATGTGTGGCATTTCTTAAACATACACCAAATCCAGTAAGTGTAACAACAGAAGACACCGTTTTGGTGTACATTGGGTACCTTACCTTGTTTTTGCCTTTCCATAGGTCTGTGGTAGCCTATTCTTTCCTTCCTGGAGGACTTCTCTACTTCTCTACTTGCATTTACTCTTCCGGGGAAGGTGTGCAAGTATGAACAGTTACTGTGGAATGGGCTAATACAAGGAACAAGATTAATTTGCCAAAAGTATAAATGTCTAAATGTGAGCTGGTCAGACTTTCTGGTATTAATCAACAGAATTGCTTGAGGTGAGGAGAGAATGACAGTTCTCCTGACTTCTGCTCGGATCAGTTCTTGGGTTGCCAGTGCTGCTGTCCTGAGCATTAGTTCAGGCTCCAGGTTGGTTTTTTTTTTTCCGTTGGGAGCAGCAGCTTTATATGAAGCACCTCTATTGGTTTTAACTTGTGGCTGATATTTCTGATTGTTAGCCTGTTTGGTTGGTCTGTTAATCCAGTGCAACAAAGCGACACAAATAAATGGTCTGTGAAAGTGTATTATGAAGATACATGTCTCCTTTATAATGAACCGATTCATCCCCTCTGCGGTGTATTAAAATCAGCCTCCATAGAGTTGCTGTTCTGGGTAGAAGTGACAAAATCCAGTATTGCACAAGGATCCTATTGAATTAAAGGCAGATTTGCCCAAATAACTATCTAATACAGTAAACTTCATAAACAAAAAAAAAATCATATATCGTATATATATGTGGAATAAAACATTCAAATTTAGTTTACTTTTACAACCACTTCATTTGACATGGTAGGTCTGAAATATTTCATAGATGCATCTGTGAAGTAGAGAGCATTACATTTGATTTAGGCAGAGCAGGCTCTGGGTTTCAGTTCCGCTAGAATCAGTTGTTCCCTGGTGTTTTCTGGGGAAGGAAAGTACATGACAGTAAGAAAAAAAGAACAATTTAGTTCCTTTTCATTTGTGTTTTTGTTAATAAGTTTTTGTGATCAGGTGGCTAATGCAGTTACTACGATTGACAGAAGAGTAAGAATTTGTGCTAAAATTAATCAGAGCACTTGAGTAAGTTTGTAGGTTTTTTCCTGGATCTTGAAACCTGATGAAACTTAGACTATTCTTAAAACTGGCTGTTGGAGTCTTAAAGTGGATAGACATTTGCTTTCAGTCTGGAAGAATTCCCATAGATGTGATTTTGGCCATTCAGCAGTTTCTTCTAGAGAAGTTGGAGGGGAGCTTAGAAAATGAGGAAGAAAACTTCATTAGGTACAGGCCAGTCAGCTTCAGTTTCCAGAAGAAAAATGGGACAAATAAGCAGTTTGTAAATGCTTAGCCAGTACTGTTGATACCCAGACATGGATTTGTCACGAATGCTGTGTGTCAAGCAAATCCAATTTCCTTCTGTTGACAAAATAATATGCCTTCGTGCAGATTGGTGACACCTTCTCTTCTCCTTTAGGTTTAGTGAGGCTGTTCTGCAGAGATGGGTGGAGGACTCCATTTCATGTTGTGGTGTTCACAGTGGGATGTTATGCCCAGTGTGGTGTTTGCCTAATAAATAGGTTTTATTCCATTTTAAGTGTGATTATTCAAGACATAGACTAGTTTGAGAGAATAGAGGAAAGCATATTGAATATGCAGTGATCATCTCTCAGGAATGTTAAAGGTCTAATGACTAAACCTTAGGGTGTGAGAGATGGACTAGTTGACTTCTGGAGACGCCTTTTGAAGCCTGTTTTTCTGTGATTTCCAGCTGACATTCAAAAGTAAGATTTTTTGGATGCTTTGGCAGGCTTGCTGTATAGTAAGTTGAATGGTTTTGGTGTAATGACATTTTTAAAGAGAGCTTCATTGTTTCCACACTTAACCTACCTTCCTTCTTTAAAGGCAATGTTTATCTGAAGGTTATAACTCGAAAAAGAGAGATGCCCTCGTTATCTTCCTCAGCAATCATTCGGAGCATTTCTAAAATTTCTTTCTTTTGAGGCATGCTGTGAGAGACTATTGCAGATCATCTGCGGGTCTCTTCTCTTCCCAGAGCTTGTGAAAATTGTTAATTGTACAGGATTTTCTGATGCTCTGAGACAGTTTCATAATTAACAGGCAGCTGCTTAATATGTAACACAACATTCTTTCCCATACACCTTAAAGCTTTCTTGCTGGATCCACTATGTATTCTAGGAATCAAAGGAGGCAGAACATGTGATAAACCAATTATTCTGCTTTCCTGAAATTAAGGATAAACTAGGCAGACAGAGGAGAGTACAAAACATTTTACTGCAAATTGACATTTTGTTCTGAACATCCAGATCCCATAACCCAGATGTAGGTTGTGTGAAGGTGAGTTTATTTAATGGAAGATATTAGGCTAAAATTTTTGACACTGTTTTGGAGAACATTGGCATTTATATACATTCTTGCTAGGTGGACTGCTGATGGAAGATTCAGTAGTGTTGGTGTTTTGTTAAGTTTGAATTTGCAATTTTGCATAATTATTTCTGTGTTTCAGGACAGCAACTTCTAACAAAACTTGTTTGTGCACATAAAGATTTTATTCAAGCCCAACTGAAGAGATAGGTTCAATTCTGTGCAACGCAGTGAAAAGAATCAAGATATCATGAACATTGTGTGAGGAAGCAGAGGAGACTGAGGAGTGACCTCATCAGTGTTTATAAATACGTAAAGGGCAAGTGTCAGGAGGATGGAGCCGGGCTCTTCTCGGTGATGGCCAATGACAGGACAAGGGGCAACGGGTGCAAGCTGGAGCACAGGAGGTTCCACATTAACATGAGGAAAAACTTTTTCACTGTGGGGGTGACAGAGCACCGGAATAAGCTGCCCAGAGAGTTTGTGGAGTGTCCTTCTCTGGAGACATTCAAAACCCGCCTGGACGTGTTCCTGTGTGGC